GTAGGTATTGACGCGATTATCTGTCCTCTATGCGCACTACTAACGAAATGAAATGGCACACACAAACTCTATACGTAGAGACGTAATACTGCGTTACCTTATGTAATATTATTCTGCATTATGTGTAATTTATCCTTCTTCTACCTCTCAAGAAAAATCTACCCAATCAAAATCAAGCTCGAGTCTATGAGAAAAATTTCTTTATCGGTATTTGGGAGCTCTAAAATTCTTGACGACGCATAACTCAGATAACCGCTACAACTTCCTTTTCTAGATGTTCCAGCTCTCGTTGGTAGAATGAGGGAACTTGGCATTCAATCCTATACTCACAAAGATAGAACTGACAAGATGCGTCCTTTCTTTATTTTGCGTCAGTTCTCTTCCTTCGAGATGTTCGGCAAATTCAAAGTTGGAACAAAACGAATCAACGATGGATGTGCGGTTGGTCGGACTACGATTGCATGCGCCTAACTCATAAATCAGCTTGAACCATAATACAGGCTTTCTCCAAAGGCTACGCTGCTTCCCCTCATGATTTTAACAATGCAGCAGATTTTAAAGAGATCCTTAAAAAGGTGACTCACAGTCTTCCTACATTGTTAAATGGGTCACATTCGACTTCGCCTTCTTAATCGCACCCAGAAATCTTTTCGTTGTATAAAATTTAAAATTAGCTGAATTTTTTTACCTTCGCATAAATCTGCCGTTAAGGAGAGTGTGAATATAGTGGCTGTCCCTGGAAGAAGAGATGATCCAACTAATACAGAGAATTTGGGGACTTGCAGCAAAGATCCAGGCGCAGAGCAGGCGCGGTCATTATTTTATATTGACTTCCCAAATGGAGAGAGTAAGGTAATGATAATATTTGAAAAAATCCGTCTAAAATCTTTATCTATTCAGAGAGCTGACAATGCTACATTTTGGCGGGATAGGTTTCCCGACAGAACATGTGCAGATTCGCCACGCATTGCGCTTGGATTTTCACAAGCTGGTCTGGTCGACATCCCTGCAATAGCTCGTCTCTTCACACTTTGCACCTACGGTTTGTTCCTTTTTCCAAAGACTT